TTTCGATTAAACACATTTTAATCAGCCTAACTAGTTTCATGGGTATCCCAAACTCTATCAGAATATTGTACCATACTTATATGCATTATAAATGTTAAAATATTTTTATTTATCCCGATAAATATTTTCCTGAATTCATTTATTTTTAAAGGCTAACTTTATTTATTTATTGTTTATTTAACAATGCTGTTAGTATCTCAGATTTTATAGCGTCCAGTGCTATGATGATTTTGAATAACGAATTAGGAACGACAAGGAGGAAATGTTTGCCAACTGCGCTCATGCTGCTACCCCGGTGGAGGGACTGAAGGAAACCACTTCCACCCTTAATTAGGAGAAATTTTCTCTGGGCCAGAATTTGAACTGGGGTCATCGGGAAGGTTGGTGTACCTGTGACTCTGCTGATTTGTGTTCGGGAGATATTCGGTTCGAATCTCGGTCGGGTCACTAGTCATTTTGACTGAGTTTTTCGTGGTTTTCCTCAACTACAGACGAATAACGGGATAGTACTTCAATTTTGTCATTCCCTCTTCGTTCTGAGTAGCTTCCAATTGCTTACTGATTCGACGTTTCCTAGTATGAGATGCTAAGAGTGCCGTAAAATAAACAGCTAAAGGAACGCAAATATCGGGACCCCCCGAAAACGAAGCAGGAAGAGTCCCCTCCTGCCCGCAAATTTCATGGTCTTTGGTAAATATTAGTGTCAGACAAATTGAGATGGACAAGGCATGTAGCAGGAAGATGTATGATATACGATACTGATGTTAAGGTCAAAAGGAAAGAGATCATTAGGGATAAGAAGTAAGTAGGTGGTTGGATAATATTAAAATGGATCTTGGAGAGATAGGATGGATTGTTGTGCCTGAATTAATCTGGCTCAGGATAGGGACCAGGTGTGGAGGGTTCTTGTGGGGCTCTTGTGAACATGGTAATGAACATTCGGCTTCCATAAAATGTTGGAATCTTCTTGAGTATCTGCACAACTGGTGGCTTCACAAGAAGGGCTCAGCTCCATGAAGTTAGTTAGTTAGTTAGTTAGTTTAGTTTAGTTTATTAGCATGAAAAAGTTACTCGCTTATTTTTACGGCCTGGGAGAATTTTATAGTTGAGAAGATCTAATGACAATACGACAAATTATGCCATGCATGGTATGAAAACACTGAATATTTATAAAATATGTTCTTTTGCATTTTAAAATATGAAGTCAGCTTACGGGAAACACACTGGATATCCAGTATACAGACCAAGTTCTTATTGCTGTTTAAGAGAAATAATTGCTTTATATTCTCAGAATATTGTCACGTGCCCGGGGTTCCATGACGAATGATAATGGGTTCTGCATTGGATTCCGAATTATCTTATGACTGAATCATTGAACCCTCTTACGAATCAATCAATCCATGAATTCACGAATTAAGTATCTTTTATAACTCGGGGCGACCCGAATAGAGATCACCACTCCCAACAATTCGTCTCTTACTACATCTGTTCGTTGCTGTGGTAACGTTCTTACAGAACCGTTGTCCAGCAATGGTCATATTCTTCACGATATGAAATATATAAGTACGCACTGTGAGGAAAATTCAGTTTTTAATGTTAAATTAGATGATACATAACGCGGCCACTACAGTTTAGAAAATTAAGATAAAAATTGTTAATTATCAATACGGAAATGAATGTCAGTTGAAATGTGTGATTTTTAGACCTAACGCTCGAACCTCGTGACTCATCAGTTTCGATATATCTCAAGACATGGATGCTGTATGTCACAGAATATTATTAATTCGCTCTAACCAGTGCAAGAATCAGCCCCCGAAATATTCGCGCAGTTCCGTGGCGCCTCTCGCTACTACTTCGTATCGACACTTGGAACGTAGCGTGACGTCACGCCATCGCCCAGTGCCCAGTCGGCCCAGTCTGGGGTTTTAATAAACTACATATTCTTTCAGAACAGGGCACCGCGGAGAATGTTTGGATATAAGGAGACAGTAGCAAGGGGTGGATAAAGTTGCTTAATTTTAGTCCTCAGCTGAGGCATGTGCGACCCCTGGGAGAAGTGAGAAGTCCGTGCAAAGTTTTAGTCGAAAACGTGAAAGGGAATAAAATAGTTTTGCAACATGACCGTAACTAGGATGAGAGTATTTTATTAATCTTGAAGAATTATGACGTGAAGATGTGATTCAGCTAGTTCACGGCATTGCGTGGCCCTTCTGTGTGAGGCAGTAACCCTCTGAGCTCCATAAGTTGTGGTGAATTCCTTTACAGGACCTGCTCCGTCCAGATTGGTTTTCTTATTACGACTATTGCTCTTGTTGCTGTTATTGTCGTCGTCAGGGCAAGATGAGAAATACTTAAATAGTTTAGAAGGAAAAACCTGGAGAGAAATCAATTCGGAATATCCATAAGTAGAGTGGAGGAAAACATTAAAATTTATCTTAAATACTTTGGGCGAATGGAGACCAGATTTATATGGCTTAGAATAGAGATAGTAGCAGCTTTCGTAAACATGATAATAAACAATCCATTTCCGCAGAAAGCTGGGAAATTCTTGACAACGATAACAAATATCGAATTCTCCGGAAGTACAACTTTCCATTGAAATGTTGTTGTTATTATTAATTGTTCTTGTTGATGTAAACAATATCTGAATGTCTATGTTGTACTGGTTATGACCATTGATAGGTCTATTTTTAAGTTTCTCCAACACAAGGTCGTCAGGGACCGTATATTCTAAGATTGTTCATGGTTTTCGACAGCCCTTCCTGTAAGTTTCAGGAACATGCTTTTGAGGAAACTGCGGCCGTTATCCCGTTCCTCTGGAGTTGTCTGTTTGACTGCCACCGTCACTGCAACATTACCCAAGCTGCACCTTTGCTGAAGCCTCAGAAACAGAAAACATGAAGCGAATCATCAGTGCGGAGAAATTATCGGCATTAGATTCTGAAAATCGCTGACTTCGGCTAGAGACAAGGATGTTACTCCATGAATTTTTATTGCTAATTTTTCGTAATATTCTGCTACACAGCAAGTGGATTTTCAAATATTGCACATCGTCAACGTCAGCATCAAAATCATAATCTCGCTAACTACATCGGTTGGTGCCACAAAACTGTATGGATTAGTCCGACTTCACAGGCGCTGAACATTCTATCCCAATCATAATTTCTTCTACAGTATCTAAAAACAAATTAGGAAATGTTGCCTAAACTGGGGCACAGTTCTCTCTTTTCTTGTCTTGCCCAGTTCATTAATTGCAAGTCAACGTATCGTGCCCCCGGCCATGAGTTTCAGGCTGAATGAAGTGCATTTATTATTATTACATGGGCTCAAAACTCGGGTCCTTACGTATCTCCTGATTCCATTTTTATTTTATTTAGGAGAAATTTCGAAGGCGATTTTGAAAATACGAAGGAAATGCGATGAATTTTAATTTGAAAATCTGCATTAAAACCAAAATAAAAATGAATGTGCTAAAATATATTAGAAATTTACTGGGGCTGCGTAATTGCCCTGATAATGAATTTATTTTTACATATGTACAGTTGCCACAGTGTAACTCCTGAAAGCTGAGTGTGGGTTTGTCAGAATGATGTCAAATGGACAGTTATCTTACAAGTATAAAATTCTTGTTCTTGATTGGCGTAAGTTTTCATCGCAATTTACACCCAAAGTCTTCGGTAGGCTGCGTTTGAGGTATAACGCGTGAGAAGAACATAACAGAAACATGAACTGTTACTTTTAATTTTAGCCTCGTGCCGTAGGAAGAAAATAGATAAAGTGGCCGACCGCTATGTTCGCCCCAGAGTATAAAGGGAATATTTATTTGTTTTCAGATTGCGTGTTCGAATTATAGCGCAAGCTGCAATTTAAGTTGCTTTTCATTAAAATTCGCCGCGAATGTTTATTTCCTTTATCGAATTATCAAACACCTCGCGCTACCAGCAGATTTTTTAACATTTATCCCTAGAACCAAGCAGTCTAATTGAAATCGTGTCGACAGCAGAAGACATAAATCAACAGTTCTTTGTGTGTCGGCGCAAATATGCATCAGTTTAAAGGAATTCACATATTGTGGCGAAGGACGAGTTTCTTTCGATATCAAGTACAGTATCATAACTTACTAATTCCACTGAGCGGAGCCCTACTTGAGAAGCTAATAGTTGCTCAGCTAGTCAGTAATATCCTTGTCTTTTATTATGAATTCCCGAAGTTCGTTACTGTGTTCACAAGAGGCCACTAGTAGATTCTTTCCTGAAGAAGAAGAATTCAGTCCAGGTTTTCACATCAAACTTCTTTAACGTCCGCTTTAATATTATAATTCCATCTAGCTCTCCCAAGCTGTCTCTACCCTTCAGGTTTTGTAAATAAGATTTCGAATATATTTCTCGTCTCCCCCAACGGTGATACATGACTCATCTACGTCACCTCCTGGATTTCATCATCCTAAAATTATTTGGTGAGAAGTAAATGTGATAAAGCTCATTGTTATGAAATTCTCTCCTGTTTTCCTTCAATTTATGTCTGTTGAGTTCAGATATCAATTGCAAGGCATTGTTCTTAGCCATCCTAAATAACTTAATTCCTTTTAATAGGTTCTGCGTGTATCACTGTGCAGTTGAATTTTTGTTCTAACTGTAAGCTCTTTGTTGAGGTCGTGTCATAGAGGCGGCCAGGGTTCGAACCCAGGTCAAGTCATGTTCTGGTGGACAAAGTGGCATTTGGGCAGCTTTTCTCCGAATATTTCATTTTCCCCTGCCAGTTGTCATTCCACCGACTGCTCCATATCTATCATTTGGGGCTGGTACAATAGGCCAATTAGTGGCCGACCTACCAAGTGGACTCAGTCTCACCCCACTCCAAGATACAAAAAAAATTGTTAATTTGATGTGGTTCTGTAAATAATTTCGATTAACCATAAAGCAGAAAATAAACCCCTGTACAAAGTGAAATAAATGCATAGTTATTACACGAGAGTTAATATTTATTTTGTTTTGTTGCAGTGACATTTCCTCCAGTCAAAAGGACGAATGGTTCGTGTAGGTAAGTGTCTGTACGCTTCGCTTCATGTTCTGCTAGACAAACTGTATGTCTTACTGGTTCAAGCAAATGTTACGTTCTGATAACAGTACTATGTTAGTAATATTGTCTTAAAATGTGGGACATATGACTCAACGATTTCTAAAGTAAATTTTGACTTCTGTGTTTAACGAAATATTAGTTTCTGGCGTGGGCTTCTGATAATGTTACTCGCACATTAAATTATGATTTTATCATTGAACTGTATATTGTGAATATTACTGCCAGCAGTTTAATATTTTACTTAAGTTTGCAAACAAGTTTACAGCTGATGACACGGGAACTATTTGAGACTGTTAACCAGGGCCATAGCTCCTAATTAACCATTTAAATCATAAATATTTTCTAAATATTATATCATATATATATCATAGCAAACACATTAGGTTTCCGCTACAAAGGTCAACCAGTGAGTGCTGTTTAGGGAACCAATCGCTCTGTTGTGAGAATCGTACGGAACGCAAATACCTTCTGAGGGCAGGAAGTAGAGCCCTAGTATGTTAGCGCTGATTGCATATGGTAAACACTGGGCTATAAGCGATTAATTCCTTTGGTATGTTTTATCTTTAATCTTTACGAAAGTGTCCTGATCCAAATCCTGACTAAGCAAGTCTCTGCATGGAGCAGAAGGCGTCTGTTTCTCGGCAAGTTAAGAAGTTCCCCTCTTTGTATGGAACCCGAATGTTCATTGCCATCTTCACAAGAACCGAATATTATGCCCTAGCGTAGGGCGGTGGAACCCCGACCGAACCCTCACACCTGTTTATTTCGGTAGCGTAGTTGGTTGAGGCACTATGCTGCAAGCCTGAAGGTCCCGGGATCGAATCCCGATGAGGTCATCGGATTTTTTTTCAACTGACCTAATCCTTCCAGCCGCACTATGGCCCTGGGGTCGACTCAGCATCTAACAGAAATGAGTACCAGGAATATTTTTGGGGGTAAAGCGCGACCGGCGCGTAGGGCTGACAACCTTACCGCCATCTATGAGCCAATTGTCTAGGAACTGTTGGAACCTCAACATCTCACAACCCTATGGGCCTCCATGGCCTGTTACAGGGATACCTTTATTTTACTTACTTTTTAATATTATCCTCACGCATACACCTTCAAGTTGTCTTATATTGAGAAATATCTCCATCATGCAATACGATGTATATGAATCCTACTTTTCAAATTTCGGAATATTGTACGTTAAGAACGCGGCTTACAGTTTCCCTATTACAGCTGATTTTCGTTTGCGCAATCAGTCGGTGTAATGTACGTGTACAATAAATTATTTTACCGGGATCGAGCTGTTAGAAGAGTCGGACACTCCTCCCTTCAAGTCGGACCAACACATAATTTATTTGTATTATTAGCCCTGTATCAAGTTTGGAAGCCAAGCGACAAATGGGGCTTGGGAATAAGCATAGTTACTTTTTCTTAGTTTCTTGTGGTGGGGTGAAACTGAATGTTCTTGGTACATTGGCCACTAATTGAAATATTGTACTAGCCCCGGATGACGGGTGATGAAATTTGGAATGAGAATTGACAAGGGAAACGAAGTACGAGGAGAAAACGTACCCCAGTTCCACTTTGTCGACCACAAATCCTACATGACCTGACTTGGGCTCGAATCCAGGCCACCGCTGTGTGAAGCCGGCGTCTACCCTCCTGAACTATGGCACGGCCGAGAGTGAGGAGCAGGGAGTATTGCGGGGGAAAGCTACTGTACCCGGGTCTAAGAGCATTATCTTAGTAATCCTCTGACGGTGCTTTCAACCACGAAGATCCTGAGGTTCTTACACCCCGCTGGTCAAGATTGAAGCTACACACAAAGCATCAGCTGCATCGCTACATTAAGAACAGTCGCGCAGTTAGCCAGGAAATATCCAGTCTTCAAGACTGAGTTCATTCTAAATAACATTTCATTCCGTACTTCACAGGAAGCACATGACGGCTCAGCTACAAAGACCAGCCGATTAATGCTGTTTAGGGAAATAATATACGAAACACACATACACTGTGGACAGAATACAGAATTACGTTATGCTAAAGCAAGTTGTACGTGATAATCACTGGGCTTTAAGGGTTAACGCAACTTGGTTCATTACCATGTTGAAGGATTCGACCACCGGACCAATCCTTGGTCAGATGAATTCAGTTCACAATGATTTAAGATCATATTAATGTTACGCTTACCTCATCCATGTGTTCTCATCTCTTCACACTTTCCAACTAAATCTTGGAATAAATGTCTTATTTCCTCATTTCCCAACGGAATACATGGCGCTATAACCCTGAAGATGGAACTCTTCATAACATTTCACTGTGAGAACCTCAAATCCCATTATACACTTTTAGAATCAAACTGTTCTAATTTTTTTTTCTGTTCTCCTAATTCCGTTGTGAAGTTTTTCTTATTTCTTGGTGTTCTTCCTAGATACTTATTCAAACTTTTAAACATTCTCAGATAATTTATTGCATATTACATTGCGTTATTAGGCCAAAATTCCTCCATACCGCGATGATGTAACAGAGGTTGAAGAAAGTTTCTCTTTAAGTTGTTGACGTTGTACGCAATACAACCAGAAATCTAGTGAATAGTGGATTTTTTCGTATTTTTCACACAACTTATCTATAAATTATAAAATCGAACGAAATTTAACTGTGGACTACAATAAAATATAATTTTTAACAGAGTACATTTCAGAGTTATGCTGTATTTCGGCTATGCACAGAGTTTAATTCATAACGCGCCAGAAATTTTATTGGAGGCAGAAAATTCTGTGAAACTTCGTGAGGTCATGATCTTAGATCCAAATTACTTGGAGGACACATGAGTGCCTCATTTTTTGACGTGAACCGATAAATATGTTACGTAATATCTCGTGTTTTGTCGTGAAACAGAGCCAAAAATAAAAAATATGAGAAATATACAGAAGCTTACCTCCTTGTGTAATTTAATCTTCAACATTGACCCGCTCGCTAGCTTAAATATATATTAAAAAAACAACAGAACGTTCAACTATTACGCTGAATTCTTTGTACACAAAAAACGACTTATAACATTCTTACGAAGTACTGTGACAGTAAAGCATTTGTATTTATCTCTTAATTTTGAAAGCTGCCAAACACTTTCATGCTTCAATAAGAGTCTTAATTAATATCCGTGATGAAAATGTTACACTGAAAGATAATACCAGTCTAAAAGTTTCCTGCCAACAGCACGTAACATACCAAAAGCTTTCCATTATTTTGACGCCAAAAGTTTGGCATATTAAACAGTGTTGCGCAGCATGATTATAGGTCTTCGTATTTCAAATTATCTCTTAACGATACATAACGAAATGAAAAATACTCAGGAATTTGGAAACACTCATAAACGATAACCGAACAAAGCTATGGATTTTGAATCGTTACTGAAAATATAAACTAATCCTCAATTAATAGCAGTGTCATTATGAAAGATGACGGATGTAATATGAATTAACCGTACAACTCAACGTACAAATCGTACATACTTGAAAATTGTATCACCGAGGCTCTGAAAGTAAATGTAGTTGTTGCTACCTACTGGAAGTAAAGTGGGCTTCTTCAAGTAGTTAATATGGACTGAGTTTTCTGATATTGTCACGTGTGGGATGGTAAGCGTGACGAAAGACGGGATCTACTTCTGATGACGGGATTTATTAGCACTTTGTTTACAGCGGGCGGAGCAGGAAGTGAACCCTCGAGTCAAGAATTCAGACGGCTCAGGACCAGCAGCAACTTACATCGTGTTAATACTGTGACGCGATTAGTCATTGCTAAACAACAGACGGTTAAAAGAAGATCTTGTGATAACGGATCGTTTTACATGAATTTACATTGATACGAACAGCCTACATAAGGAGCCGTGAAGATTCTCCAAGATTTCATTGATTCGTGAGACAGGCGTCTTTCTTGGCAGCCAGAAAATCTTTCGTAAGGAAGTTCAGTAGTTGAACGTTACCAAACAACGGATAGTAAACAGGCGCTGGACACTTTATTTTGTGTGTTATAATTACAGTACCTATAGAGTATTATAATTATTTACAGTTACGACTTGTCCAGTAAATCTATTCATCAGTCCACAGCCCCGTCTCCAGTCACGAACACTCATGATAATACGAATGTTGAATTGTTGTCTTCTGGGATTTGGTTGATTTAAAGTTACAACGTTCCGTAGAAACTAATTGCCGCCATCTTAAGAACAGTTATCTTAATACTCAGAGCCGTGAGAATTTCAGATAACGTACAGTACATACGTACGTATATGTCATATACAGTGCGACATAACTCTTAAAGTTTAGCGTTATGTCAACTACTGGGATTACTTATTTTAGAATGAAATATTTTGGTAATATAGTGAATAATGAATGGACAGGAATTGGGAAAGTAACAGTAACTCATTTGATGTGGGTTATATTTCCATAATTTTAATGAAGCAACTGGAAAAACTCATGAAAAATATCTTGTTAGGATATTCTTTCCCTGATCCTAATTTAAACTCAATAGCTGCAACAACATAGATATCAATGTTCGCAGCTGATACAGAGTCATGGAGCAGCATAGCGTTAGGAGACTAAGTCCTTAGTCACAGATGGGGCTAAAAATATTATGCTCCCTTAAGATGTTCATTTTCGTAAAAATCTTTTGCATTGGTCTGTTTCAAGTTCCATTTTCTTAGCCTTTCTTCCGTCACCATCGGCCTTGCACCTTCATGTAAAAAAAGAGTCATTTCATCAAAATGTACTTTAAATCCTGAAGATAGAAACACCATGTTCCTCCGAAAGGTCTTTACCCGCTAACAAGCCTGAATGGTGCCACAGTTCAGAAAACCACAATCACCTTCGTGAAAAGATACAAACTTATATAACTGAATAATGCTTTGAAAATAAAATTTTTGTTGTCAAGTAGATAAATGTCTTTTTTTTTCCTTTTCCAGAGGTTGACCTGGTCCAATGCCCTGCAGGGTGAAGTCCGAGTCGGTAGGAGTACCCTCTACCGGTCGGCACCGCAACTAATCTCGGATAGTTGCTTTGAAATTTCTTCCACCAGCAGACGTCACTCTTGAGATGCTGGTAGGAGAGAGAACATTAGATACTTGTTTCCTGTGTGCAGAGAAGAAACAGTCAAGTCTGAAGAAGAGCAAATCGACAGTGATTTAGGAATAATATGACTTGAAGTTACGCATGGAATTCTAAAGTTTAAGTTAAGGAGATAAATAGAGAAAACAGGGGAAAATGGGGCTACAAATGAAACGTATAGAGTAGAAACAAACAACTGAACGTCGCTTTCCAGGGTTGAAAACAAAACAATAAAATGAATCTGCATTAACTATTTGCTGACAAGTGCCTGTTTAATGTCACAACAATAGACGCCAGAACATCAGCAGCAGAAACAACAAAAGAAGATCAAGAAGTCAGAATAAGAAACATATGTTGCAACATCTTTATTATTATTATTATTTTATCATGTGCCGTACGAAGCGAACTGTTGCAAATTTAGGAGGTGTTGTAAGCATAGGTTCTACTTTTTTACACGATTTGCCTGAGTTTAATTCTCGCTGTCCTTCAAAAGAATCAGGATGCAGCAACAATAATGATGATATCTCTTTCCACTGTTGCCAGAGAACAATGACGTCAGTAACAAAATATCAAGGGAAGTGTTACGCCGAAACCAAGAACCAAATTAACTGATCTGTGTGTCCAGGATAAGGACATTTCCTTAACTTATGTTTATTTATGACAGTTACTACATGCCCTGTATCATTATGCCGTACACCTCACAGTCCTTTCGAATTTGCAGATATTTAAAAGCAGACTTTATAAAGATCAAGAGCTACTTGAAAATTATCCTGCATTCGAAAGGAAAATTTCACACTAGGAAAATATTTGTATACTATTACTGACTATTAATAATATATCATCGTCATCATTATCATCATCACAAGTTAGGTTTTTTGAGGTAATAACATTTTAGAGAACTGTTTTCGTTGAATCATAAGAAATGTTCATGTAAGAAAAATGTTATTAAGTTTACTGATTATGAATCCAAACATTATCATCAGCCACATACTGCCTGCCACCCAGAGCAGAGGACGGTTCCAGACAATAGCCAAAGAACAGCAAAGAGTTTTGTAAATGACTCTGATGTGGAACGATTTATCTGTTACGACCGCTTGATAACTGATGGATTCTTCAAATAGGGTGGCTATTAATTGTAAGACAGTGTAATTCTAAGGTATGATTTCAGTGTCTGTTCCTCTGTTAGTTCATATGGCATTCGATGACGCCTGGTGTTTTTGCAATGTAGAGACTGGCGTTGTTGACAGGACAGTTCTGCGAAAACCACATGATTTAATTTGACCAGTACATTTAAATATTAAAATGTTTCACGCAAGAACTAGCACGTGCTTTCAGGAAGAGAAACGGGCTATCCCAGTTTGGCTTCAAAATGCAAGATTCTGCTGTCAGTATATATTTATAATTCACTAGAAACACCTGCGCCCCCTTCGTTTTGCCTCTTAAATAGGGGTGATCACTTTGAGGTATAATGAATATCAGTGGTAAAAGGGAAACAATTAGATTATGTTAATTTTAGCTCAGTAAGTAGTAAATCGTTCCATCTGTAACACGGGAAGGCATTATACATGGAGTTATCCAGACAGCGGAACCCTCAAGCGAAATTCGAGTACTTAGTTGGCCTTACTTGGCGGGGGAGCGCCCGAACCCTCCACTTGCGTCCGCACTCGCATGGATACGTCCTGTATTATTCTAGTCTTAAAGAATCTTCAAGGCACCGTATTGAGAAGCCTTTTCGTGTTTTGTGCGAATCAGACATCTATATTTCGCATTCCTTATTAAGAACATATCAAAACCACTCTGCTACAGATGAATTAAAACTCTGTGGAGAGGGTTCAAATATTATAAGTACAATCACAAATAATATCAGTAGATTAATTAAAGAATTGTCCCTCCGTAAGTGATTAAAATATTTGTGAGTGATAAACATCGTATGCTATATTTCACGTGTTTTAAAATTTCAGATTAACATTGTGGTCATCTGGATTACAACACTGTGCAGTTACATTGGTGGTTGTCGCTGATGTGGTAACAGATTACGAATCTATCAGGTAACATGTACCCAACAGACTAGGATCTCATGCTATGTGTTTTGTTGTTTATGACGTGTATATAAATAGCATACTTAAGTCCGTATTAAAGCATTTAATTTCAAATAATGATGATTATAGATCCACCTGGAGCACGTGTTACAGTTATATGCGTTGGCTGTACATTTTTATTTGTGGGGAATTTATTTGACCCAATCTTTGTTTTCTAAGAAATACTTGAAATGTTAGAATCAACAGCAATACACGTATATGACTCTTTCTTAATTTGAATATTTCAATAAAATTTGTATCCTAATGTGATTTTAGGGACCTTTTTTAATAATTCTAATATATTATTAAGCACACGATACTTCAGAACGTACTTGGGGTGATTTATTTAGTTTGTTTCAGAATGAAAATTGAGAAACTAGACTCGGGTAGCATATTAGGTCCATAACTTTCGTATTTATCCGTTTGTTTTCACCCTAGAAGTTCCAAAATTACTTTTATTCATTGTGGCCACATATATTCAATTGGCAAAATTATGCATGAATTTATATGCATCATTTTAACGTTGGTAAGATGGAACAGAGGAAAACGAATCATGAAACCTTCGGAAGACTAGATTACACATTCAATTAGGAACACTTCCAAATGATCTTTGAGTTGTGGAATCTGAAGTTATTCTCATCGCATTCAATTTGTTTTGCTACACAGGAAATAGCAAAGAATAAAATGAAGCTCTGTGTGGGAATGCACAACGCTGATAATAGGTTTCAGTGGTATGACCAAGCAGAAAGAAATGTCGTGCTCGGATGTCATACTGTTTTAAAACCTGTGAAATTTAGACGTCACGTTATATGAAATTTTCGACCACATTGTTCAGGAGGTTGAAGTAAACACATACAGAATTACTGATTCTTCAAGATTGCTAGTAGAATTCTTCAAATCATGTATAAAGATCTGATCTAAATAAATATATCTTTTATAGCCTGCCTATCAGACATTAATTTGTCTTTGACGCGCCTACTAATGAAAATTTTGTTAGTAAAGAAAAGCAAGTATTCGAACAAATGTTTAAAATTTTATTTGAAGCATATTTTCAAAGATTTTTTCAAACAGGACTAAAAGTAGTAGGACGAATTTTGGGAGACTTGGAGTTGTAGATATTGATAGAAATTTCATACTAAATAATGGTCAAATTAATTTGTGTGGTTTTGCAACAATTAGTGGTCAGGTTGAAACAAATAAGAATTTCTGACCTAGAAAACGTGGGTGTGCTGAGTGTTCTGCATAGCTTGTCCTGTCTTCGTAATTATTACATCATAGAGACTTTATTTTTGACACTTTAATGACAAAAATACGCAGAGAAACTCTTGGTAGTGTTTTGTTTAGCTGTGTCTGTGTGAGATCACCTGGTGGTTCTGTGTGTGTGTGCGGTGTGTTCGCGAGATTACTGCAGACCTGGAGCACACTGCCTAATGGCGACCGAAAGAGAACGTGGCAAATATTTACAGATATGACGTTCTGCGAAACCCCCACTAGTGTCCTGGAGGTGTCATGCTTCTAAAATTGCGTTGCTATTGGTCTTCTTTAGAAGCATTCCTGGCCCACATGAATTTTAATAAAGCTGTTATAACCTCTTCGTTATGGACTGCGTATTTTATTACAAAAAGACACAGAAAGAAACCTAAAGGGGACTTTGCATATCGCTTAGGTCCCTTAAGAATTTAAACCACTCCGCACTTATTTATTTAAGTACAGTGAGTATTATGGACCACGCAGGAGCGAACACGGGTTATGTGTTGGCCCCACTTGTGGCGAACAATCTCGGACCCATCAGCTGGAGTCCGTGCTCTCAGGAAAATTCTCTGTCAATACCGGCTAGCTGGATCTCAACGCCGTGTGCATGCTGCAACTTCTCTGACACAATAGGTAGACGGGTCAGTCTTCTTAGGGGTTTGCAAGTCATGGATTTTTAATGGCGTTGCACGCTCCGAAATCTGCCCGAGATCTCATTTCAGTTTAAGCGTGAGTTTTGTGCGTAAGTAAGTCATGAAATTGTCGTTTGTAGTTTAAAAATTAGGCAGATTGGATGGCTGCTTACTCGTATATGCTTCGTTTTGCAGAACTTGTAATTGAAAGATTTGCGTTTAAGTTACAACTTTCATGGGTTTATTGTCAGTCTCATAATTTTAATAAATTATTTTCAAGTACCTGCATAGTAAATAAGAGCAACATTCATATGAAGCAGATTTGTAATAGTCTGTAATTATATACAAACCTAAAACGAAAAAAACTCTGTCTTATTTTCTGTTCAATGCATACCTACAGGTCTATTAGCAGTGGGGGAAGGTGACTAAATCGAAGTCCGGATCTAGGCAGTGTGCTACAGGTACAGAGAAACAATAGCCTAATATTATTGTCGCGATACTATTCTCTGTTTGAATATAAATATAAACATTGGCTACGAAATACTTCCCAGGCTACTGTATGGAGTTTCGGAATCCTGGGAAATCAAGCGCCAAATTCGTATTATGGTCTAAATATAATTTCTGACAAAATGTTTTGTGTGTGAAACATACAAGAGAGTTTCATGTAGGATATTTCATACTGTTTTTTACTGTGTGCAAGGAAAAATTAGCCAACTTTTCATTAAAAACGTTGCGCTGTCGCTTTTTCTACGAAGCAGAATGAAAGTAATTATATCTTTCCATTTCGTAAGTTCTTAATGCAAGTTTATGTAAGACAAAAAAAAAATGTTAAAAGTCTAGTGAGGTTTACATGTTGATTATTGCTTGTGCACATATCCGCACGAATGTGTCCATACATGACCGCCTTTGGTCATTGCATGCTAAGAACAATATTACAAACACGTATCTGATGGTCAGAGTAGGCCACCTATGGCTGTAGCTTTCTACACTATTGTACTAGCGCTTAATGCCTGCATAGATTTTATCACTGGAATGTAAAATTAATATTTTGAGGAACACAGTTAACACACAAATCACATTTACGTGGGAAAGCTATGAGATCCTTGTGTTCACGGTGTAACTATGATAGTAGAATGCTGGCTACACCCCTTCGTATCCATATCACTCACAAGCATATCACTGCAACACACATACATACCAGTTACACCAAGGCGACAATGTTTGACTGTGTTTAACCCTGCATTGCACTCACATAATGTACACCCCCCACCCCTTTCTTTCCTTATGACCGTCTGAATTGTGACGGTCAGTACCATCCCCTGTGCAGGTCCTATAGAGGAAAGGACTGAGTCTGGAAACACATGTGATGCAAACCTCTGTTCTGTCCCATTATGAAACGAGATGAGCTTTGGAGAGTCCTTCAGATCACTGCTTTGGATTTCTGTCATCATTTCATTTCCCACTGGCAGCAGAATGTGTACTTTTAGCCCGTGAGAGTAAAGACAGGACCCCACTGACTATCTATTTTGTGACAACAAAATATGAATTTCAAAAAATTTCGATACGAACGCAAAATTTTCTATAATCAGCATGCTTGTAGGCTGTACCTGTTTCGAAGTTAATATCAAAGTATAACGACTTTTGTGAACAGCCAAAAGTAACAAATATACTCGCTTTTAATATTTTACTATTCGACTTTTTATTGCTGCTACATGTTTCGGTCCTACAAGACCATCACCAGGCAGTTATATATATGAATACGTACAGTTACTGAACTGCTATATGGATCCATACCACTGCAACGTGTCATATTATATACTGACATAAAGTTTTGCCTCAAGTTGGTGTTAGAATTAAAATATAAGCTACAAAATAAGATAAAAGAATGTAATAATGAAATATAGACCAAGTGTCAAGATATATTGGGTGATATAAATGTTGAATATATTATCGAAATGTTAAAAGTATGTTCAAAATATTTAAAACTATGGGGAGTACGGGAAATTAAGGCAAAACTTTGTGTTAGTATATAATACAGCACGTTGCACCGATGTGGATCCATATCGGTAGTTCAGTAACTGTACATATTCCTATATATAAGTGCCTGATGATGGTCTTGTACACCCGAAAAATGTAGCAGGAATAAAGATGGAATTGTAAAACATTAAGGACGAGAACATTTGTTGTGGTGACAATTAACCTAATTCCTGCTGGTTAAGTAAAATCTTGCCTTGTTTTTGTCATGCAAATGTGAACTTCTCTACTGCTCAGTGGACTGGAGATTCTTAAGGTGGTGACATCACAAGAGATAGTACGCCTCAGTATTGTAGCTATATATGGCTTTAGAAAAGGGTTACGAGCTTTAACGTTTATAGTACTCACTTAAATGAGTACAAGATTCCCAGTTAACACACGTCCAGAATTCAATGCCAACTGAAAGATGGGCGAGTTTTTGTATATGACCGGATGCTAGGGTGGGCATCTTAGCTAGTCACCTCTTGGGACCATTTGTCATACCTGATAGACTAACAGGTAGTGTGTGCCGTCGTATTTTGGTGAATGATGTTGCAGTGCCCTTGGAACAGGTGCCTCTTCACCAGTGATAACACACGCGGTTCATGCATGCTGGAGTATCGCCCCATTCTTTCGTTTTTTTTTCAGTCAGCGCATCAACCAGGTTTTCCATGAACGGTTGATCGGTTGCGGAGGTCCAGCCAACCGGCCTGCACGATCACTTGACCTTAATCTTGACCTGTATCAGGCCTTGGAGGCCCATAGGGTTCTAAGATATTGAGGTTCTCAATTTTTCTAGACAATCGCATCATACATGGCGGTAAAGTTGTCAACCCTACGCGCCGGCCGCCCTTAACCCCAAACAATATTCCAAGAATATTCCTGGTACTCATTTCTGTTAGAGGCTGAGTCGACATCAGGGCCATAGTGCGGCTGGAAAGATTAGGTAAATTGTAAAACTCCCCCTTAAACCCTGTAACCCCTTTTTTAACTTTCTAACCTTCTGGTAGCTTACGTCAAAGGTTAGACTCGAAATAATTATTTGCCTACATCCGTGGAGAACCCCAACTTAAAATGGAAGTAGCTCTCAGAATTTTGTAACATGAGGACGTATATCTGACAACCCCTTCAATATAATGAATATAGACAAGTTAAATTTGAATCATTCTGAACCCAATGTTGTCCAAACGAAATTTCGCTTTAAGTCACAATTTTTGCACAAAATACTGTTCATTGCAGAGGAGGCCACACGGCAGAACCGTATGAGAGTCCGTCATGTTCAGAGCCTAGTGTGTTATTACGGATGAAAATAAAACGGTGTTGCATGTGGCAGGTTATTTCGACCACAATAATTAACTTCTTGAGCTGAATAGAAGCGGCGAAGTTGTGCAGCTGAGTGCATATCACATTCTCAATAGGGTCTCACATTATGGAGAGGAATACAAACTGCGAGCAAAGTATATAGGATCTGAGGTTATCGTAGCGGTGGTTATGAAGAGGGTTTTCTTCTGGGATATAAGGCTAAGCAGTTCGGCCAAAGTCTACAAACGATTTGGAGAAATATGACTTTTTCTTCAGGGTCGAATAGTAAACAAAGCAAGAAACCAGCATGGAGCTCTTCCCTGCTTGCTACGCCTTCATATAGTTTCTTGCTCCACATACTCTTCGACTTTGAAAACGGAGGTGTCATGCTCCTCCGAAATGGCGTTTGACTTTCCCCGGAATACAGCGGCCTCCGTAGTCTAGGGGTAACGTTCCCACCTCATGACTCAAGATACGAGGGTTCAAATCCCGCGGAGATCGTGGAAATTTTAAGGGCAGAAAAATTCAGGGAACAAGTCCTCCGGGAAGGACTTTAAGCCATGTGTCCCTTGTCGTAGATTTACGGCACGTAAAAGAACCTCATGTCTCTAGGAGACCTCTGAGCTAAATTACAGGCCCTTTCCCTCCCAAGTAGTCTCCAATGCCTCTGGTGGATGGGGGAAGCATCAAGGTACCGGGGGCCGACCTCGTTGGCTCTACGGGGGCTGATGGCACGCACCGTTACCGGTTGGTTATGGCGACAGTAGAAATTAAAAGGGGGACGCACAATGGACCAATAACTGGTCTAAGTGCATTGGGAAACCAACCCCCTCTCATAATACATACATACATACATACATTCCCCGGAATACACGATGTTATATCGAAGAAGACAGAACTTTTCAAAATAATTATACGAGTATTTTACCACCGTAATTTTCTGAGTTATATCACGAGTTGACACAGAGGATTGTAACTTCAAGAACTTTCCGCTGAAGACGCCAGCGTAGAATCACAAAATTACACATTCTGTTTGTCAGCTGGGATTCAAGGTCATGTGTAACCCTTCTGTTTGCACTGCATAAAAGTAAAGCATACCAAAAATTGTTCAAAATGAGAAAGAACAGAATCACACATCACGTTCTTGACATACAGTTGAGCTATGACAACAATACTGTCCGTGTGTGTTCGTTATGGATAATATAAAACATGTTTCTTTAGTAAAAAGTTTCTAAAAGTGTAAGCCTTGTTTATTATTTCCTCTTACCATATTAATAACAGTATCCTTCAGCTTTTAATAAGTAATAGTTTATTTAGTCCTTAAAAAGTCAGATAATAATTATACAGCGCTAAATTAATCGAAGTCCAGAATAAGGTAAAACTGATTTTCCTCAACTATATCTATCGGAATTTGCCTTGTATTGCTAGAAGAAGAATGATCTGATAAGAGAAATAACATTATCCTTTAAGTTTGTTCTTCCTCCTCTCCTTTCCTCTCCTCCCGCTCTCTCCTAGTGCTTTTGGAAATTAAACTTGTTGCCGTCCCGTATTGTTACTCTGTCGCGAGAGAAGACCTGTTTCTGCCAGACGTGACTGGGACCTCAAGAATCCTGTTCCGTTTCAGTGAACCCTCTCCTCCCCAGTTCTTCTCTAAACAGTATTTCTCCAACAGAATGTGAACAGAATATGAAAAAGGGGGAAAAAATTAATTTCATTTGAGTTGGTGTTACAATACTTCAATATTGATTCATATATTGCTGTAAGTCATAGGCCTAGGCCGCGCCATAGCTCAAGCGGTTAGTCGCTGAATTCCCACCGCGGCCCGACTTCGATCCCGGGTCTGGTCAAGTGGGATTTGTGGTGGACAAAGTGGCGCTAGGGCGGGTTTTCTCCGAGTACTTCGGTTTCCCCTGCCAATCTTCATTCCACCAAATTCTCCATCATCATATTCACCCCGGTGCAGGCTGCAATAGGATAATCAGTGGCCGCCGTGCCGAGTGGACCCAACTGGACTCCACCCCCAACTAAGTGAATTTAAAAAAAAAAGAGTCATGGGTCTATGAGAAATCTGAAATTCTGAAGCAATTTTTAAACGCTGGACATTTCTATTATTGCAGTTATTATTTATACGTTACAATCCGGAGCACGTAAAATGACGCGACGTAATGACGTTAATTAAAAACATTAAGTTATAGCAAACGCAAATCATGCTTCAATTTGGATATATTGGCTCTCAGATTACGATCTTATGACGTTAAATATGGGATATGTACTTTAAGATGTTAGACACATACCGTACTTAAGCGCATTTTGAATTCACGCCTCGTAACAGAAATTGTGACTGTATGTTCCATAGTACTCTGACGTTATAACTGAAGAGAGAGAAGTTATTAGGTTAAGGCACAGTGAACAACTCATCAGCGTAACAACGGTGCACGCGCAACAGAGGAACGGTGTTTTCTGTGATGTCCGCGCGGATAGCGACATCGCCTAACAATATAAATGTTGGAAGCATTGCTTTCTTGGCGGTGTGTACCGAGATATATAACGAGTACCAGCTGCCATTAGGAAACAGAAAATATCAGAGGCTGCATCAATTAGTTGCCGCACGGACTGCTTAGAGAACGTCGTTTCCCAGTTAGCCCATTGGTTCGTATTACGAATCTGTTGCGGCCACTACCTAACAGCGGCTGTTGTTTACAGTCATTATTTAGTAACGAACCTACATTCTACAATAATGATAATTCCTCACAAAAGGCCTTATAATTCTGCAAACATTTTTATGAGTTAGAATGCGTCAAATCATTTCTTTTCTTCCTTTCAAGTCTGAATATGGGAACCCAAGATGTAAAGCCATTCAAAATTTCATTGTTTTCAGTTTACGTCTTTCTTTTCAATAGACTTGCGATGTGCACACTCCTAAAGTACAATTCTCGTAGTTTTACGTCATCCGAAACGGGTCATGTACACGTGTTGAGAAGCCACTCAGCAATTCGTACACTTGCCACCACCACCGCTGCTTGCTCTGAGCTAGGCACCAATACCAAAATAAATTACTTCTCAACTAGGATTATATAATCCAGCATTCATATACGTGTTTTCAGCGGCCGAGTGACGTGAAAGAGAGTTCCAGGCAGTGTTTGCTGCTTGCCTGCAGTTCAGTTTTTCCTAAATTCCCCGTTTGAAGGATGAAACTAATAATAGTTTTCACAGCTCAGTCGGAATTAGTATTCGATTCCCGGCAGGGGAAAGAAAGCTTCCTCTTCTCCTGAGTGTTCAGACCGCTATGTTAAGCTGAACATTCATATTCATCTGGCATCATTGGGTGCATCCTGTTGTGTGTTCCACATATATAAAGCAATTAGGTTGACCGTCACAAAACAGATATATTCGTTTTTAATATTTTACAATTTGACCTTTTATTCCTGCTACAAGTTTCGGTCTTACAAGACCATCATCAGGCAGTTATATATAGGAATACGTACAGTTACTGAACTACCGATATGGATCCATATCAGTGCAATGTGTTGTATTGTATACTAATAGATGAAAATTTGCCTCAAGTTGGTAAGTATTATAATTAAAATAGAAGATAAAAAATAAGATAAAAGATATAAAAATATAAAAATGAAATACGGTATATATCATATATCAAAACATATTAAGTGATTTAAATGTTGAATATATTATGGAAATATTAAAAATACTTAAAAAGATTTTAGAAAATTTTAAACTATTTAGTATGAGAGGTTAAGAAATATGTATGCCAACTTAAGTCTAAGGTTCCAATGCTACAACGTAGAATTGGGCATGTTATGTCGTTTGTAGTGCTTTGTTGCCAGAAGCCTTCTACGTAGTAAGCCCGGTCGTGGAGCCCAGAGACAAGTTTCTATCGTCAAGAATGAGTATCTGTATGTTAATATTTTAGTGGGTGTGCAGATAGAAACTTTTCTGTGGGCTCCACGATTTAGGGTTGGAAAGGGAAACTGAGGTGCTTGGAGAAAACCTACCGCAATGTCACGTTCCCACCAAAAATCCCGGAACCCGGGCCATCGCGGTGGGAAGAGGGTTACTAACAGTCTGAGCTATGGTATGGCCTTGCTCATTGTTCCACTGCATTATGATTAAGCCCTGGGCAACGGCAAGCATTTAAGATATTTATTTGAGAGGTATGAGGTTTGAAGCTTGGTCACGTAACCGGCAATCCTGACCGCAATATTTCATAGTTTCCATCAACTTCCTCAGGCAAAGTGAAGAGAGTAACGCGGCAAAAGCCACGTCCCTCCGAATTCTTTCAAGCGGCGTCTCTGAGTATTGTAGGGCTCAAGTAGGCCTACTTCATAGAAATGTTGTTGAAATACGGCCCTGTAATGGAAGCAGTTGCTGTACGCTTTTATGGCAAGATTCTCTGTGAAATTAGCTTTCATTTACAGATAATCTGTAATAGAAATATTTTAACTTATAACCGTGATACATTTAACCAGGCTTCATCAACATTTCTTTCGTGTTCTCTTAAATTTAATTTCCAACTGGTTCCCGTAAACATCACCTTCAATTATTCACTTGCAGTTTTAATTAAGAGCTACAGATGGCAGAGGGAGCGGAAAGTAGGTAATAGTTATTAGTGCATCCAGTAGGTGGCTCTACCTAACACTGACCCTTTTCGCGGGGTCTACTAATAGCGGGATTTTCTTCTCCCGCTGCTATGACGCGCGCCGGAAGGTTAGTGTGCTTGTTGTGTTGTGCATGCTCGTACCACGTGTCGGTTGTTTACGGGGTGTTCGAAAACTAAAAGCAGTGATGTTTGAAAATAATTTCTTTGCATTCATCTGGAAATCAGAGTGTATTCATTAACTTTGAAATGTATGTTTGAAGTGCCTTTCACAGAAGAAATCAGTTTGTATACGCAGTAGAATCATGAATAGGCTTCTAGTACTGTATGTACTGGTGTACGCCTCCTGGTCTTCCATTGCGAATGGTGCTTCAGATCACAACAGCATCAGCAAGAACGGTGAGTTTTTAACTATTTGCCTTATATGTAATATTCTTGATATAAATTATTAATACAGTAACTTGTACTGCCTCTGTGTACAAGATGAGTCAGACTTCGGTGTACAGCTACATCTACTGCATAGCTTATATTCAGAAACTTTTGATCTATCACTGCTTGAATACTGGGAAGAGTAGCAGTAATTTCTTTATCACACCCATAATTTCTTAAAACGCCCATATACTAAGCAAGTCCAGGAACACACAGCTGTGGCTGTGCATTCATCGTGAAATGCCGCTTAGATATTTGTTATATTAAAACCTTAGTTCATACTCTTTGCAGTTAATGCTGTTAATTAACGTAAGTTAGGTGTTCAGATGAAATGGCTCAGAGAATATAAAGTTAAGGCATCTTTAGATTTGTGTTATATTTATGCATATAGTTACATGCCTTGTTAGCAAGTATACATTATTTTACATTTGCTAAATTGTAATTGGTTTCCTAGAACTATTTGCTCATTGTCGTATTGTCACTGAATAAATTGACCAGATGATCCTGTGTTGTGTGTGAACACAAAAGCATCTGTTTGATGGTCTCGCCGTGGTGGATATTAAGACTAGTCTTCTGAGATGTGACGCCGTGTAGTCTGGTAGATACGTACCATCGTTTCTGAAGAATATTCTGCCTCCACCTTCAGGTTAGGTGAAGAATTATTGTGTAGTTGGTAAAAATCGACCAGACTACGCGGCGTCACATTCCGGAAGACCTTAATCTTAAGAAACATCTTCCCTGTAAAGTTCCAGGCAATTGCTTGAATGAAGTAAATACGAGCACAGTTAAAATGAACTGTATGCATTGCCCCATTAGACGTCATTAGTAAGCCTCATTGCAACTGTCGAACCGTGCATACCCATCACGTACAAGCAGACATAAAACGTGCACGCAGTCAATTGCAAACATTCTCTCTTCAATGTGAACTGACTCATAGGTTATACAGTGACAGTTCTTTTCAAGGAAAGTGTTTCTTCTGTCTACCTGGTATTCTAATGTGAAGAGACAAGTCGTTACTAATAACAGCAACGGTAATTGGTCATCATATTCTGAAGACACAAACGTATCCGCAGCAACAATAACTGGTCGCCATATTCCAAGATACACCAATAACAAGGGCCGCGCCGTAGCTCAAGCGGTTAGTCGCTGGCTTCCCACCGCGGCGGCCCGGGTTCGAGCCCGGGTCTGGATAAGTGGGATTTGTGGTGGACAAAGTGACGCTGGGGCAGGTTTTCTCCGAGTACTTCGGTTTCCCCTGCCAATCATCCCACCAATTGCTCCACAATCACCCTCGCCTATCATCTGGGGCTGGTACAATATGCCAGAAGTGGCCGCAGTACAAGGGACTTAGTCCCACCCCACTAGCAATAAAAAATACACCAATAACAATATTTTTTCACGGAATTGTGAAGACAGATGATGATGATGATGATGATGATGATGATGATGATGATGATGATATCCCACGATCAGTTGTTGGCAGTGATTGTACCATACCATCTTTTGTTGCAAATTTGTTTAAATGTGGTTTATGTTACAAACGACCGCCTCTATGGTCTAGTGGTCAGAGTTCCTGACCACAGATCAAGAGGTCCTGGGTTCGATCCCCGTCGCTACCAGATTTTCTGAGAAGTGGTGGGTCTGGAACGGGGTCCACTCAGCCTCGTGAGGATAATTGAGGATCTATTTCAAGGAAATAGCGGCTCCGGTCTAGAAAGCCGAGATTAACGGCCGTGGGGATCCGTTGCGCTGACCACGTGACACCCTCTATCCGCAAAAGTTGGCACTAACTTCGCCGACAAGCAGCGATCTCTCGGTCGGTATTGTTCGCGGACTACAGGCCACGGAGTTTGTTTTTTGTTTATGTTGCTACATTTTAGTAATCGCAGTGCATTAACGGATTTAAGTGTGGCAAACTGGAAGTGTTCAGGTGTATATGTAACACTGGGTTCGCATAAAACACAGTTCCCGGTTCCCTGTTTTGTTGATGATGTGAACTGGAAAAATGAGGGGGCGAGAATACTAGTGGCATCGAGTAGGTCCGTCACAAATTGTTCTAACGCGAACTGCATGAGACAGCAATTCGTCAGAGGGGAGTAACGCGGATGAAGGAAATACTCGTCGTACTTCCGCTGCGACGTCTCCTGACCTGGCTTCCTTCAATAGGTCATGTTGAAAAGGGTCAGGTCTGACGTCATTTCTGCGACCACCAATAGAGCTAAAGGATAGCTCAGCTGGTATAGTGAGAGTCTACGGGATGCAGCGCCAGGGTTCGATTTCCAGCAGCGACAAGAGGTTTTTCAGTATTGAACAGCGTCCAAAAACGGCCCTTAGGCCCACCCCCCTTCTTATGCAGTGGATACCGGGGGATTTTTCTCTGCGACCAAGGTGTGAAACTGACCACTCACCCTCATCTTCTGCCGAGGTAAAGAATGGTGGCGCTATACCTCCACTCCCCCATACTTTTTCATGGCATGGGGCTTAATTAATTAAGCGGAGGGGTAACTTACCTTCACCAGTGCAGGTAAAATTAAAGTTACTTACTTGAAATGAATTTCTGTCTTCGAAGCCACGCCCAGACTGGCTCTGAGCCCAACCAGGTGCATATCCAATGACTAAAAACTAAACTAATAAAACTCTGTGGCCTTAAAGAAAGCAGTCTTCTGGGATTTGGCACCGTGTATATGTGGTGTTAACCGACGTTTCGGTGGAACGTATCGCCTCCATCTTCACGGTAGAAGGAAAAAATATAAGAAATCCACAGGCGAAAAGACCGTGAGAACCGGTAAAAGCAGGCTTACATCTTACATTTGTGGCTTTAGTCTGCAAGCGAACTATACCGACCGAGCGACCGCCGTTTGTCGGCGAAGTTAGTACCAACTTTAGCGGATAGAGTGTGTCACGTGGTCAGCGCAACGGATCCCCACGGCCATTCATTTCGGTTTTCTAGACCGGATATCCAATGACTGCAGGTAGAAAAGCGGCCTGTGTGTGAAGCACACCATTTACTTGCTACCCAGTTCAAGAATGCATGGAGCATTACGTCCCCTGCCTCATACGTCTTCATGGAATGATATTTAAGTTGATGGAAAATTCATATTACTGCCAGTCTTAATTGGAGTGTGAAGCATTAGACATAACATAAAATTTCGATTTCTGTTATAGTTTGGAATTATATTCCCGCTGTTACGTCACGACTGCCTTTTTATTTAATTTTCTCAGAATCCAAACTGATCATTATCGATAGCTGATTCTTTGAAAATAAAAATAGCCGGAGCGTGAAGCTGTTAGTGTTGCTTTCGAATGTGCATAGAGAAAAACTTCCCTTGTACGCTTTTGTGCATTGTTACCTAAGTAGAGTAACCTTAAAACATTTGTATACATTTCGTTAAGAGACCCGTAAAATCTTCACATATGCAGAAGACGTTAATTTCTAGTAACTGGAATGAAGCAATGGTTTATAACAGAAGCCCACACGTTTAAGTTTAATTACAAATTCAAGGTTTCGAGCTGCAAAGGATCAAGGCTGCAGTTTTTGGGAGAGGTTTTTAAGTCAGCAGCTCTGTGTTTGTATGCAAATGTGTCTGAACACACCCACAATAATTCTTAGCTTGGAAGGTTTGCCTTCCGCTGCCCTTTCACGGGACAACAGAAGCATAATTTTGAAATAAGGTTATATAAAAAAAAAGGTAAAGCTATACCTGTAACAGGTCGCGAAGGCCTATAGGGCTGTGAGACGTCGAGGCTCCCACATTTTATCTAGACAGTNAAAAGGTAAAGCTATACCTGTAACAGGTCGCGAAGGCCTATAGGGCTGTGAGACGTCGAGGCTCCCACATTTTTTTCTAGACAGCTCACAGATGGTGGTAAATTTGTCAGCCTTTCGCGCCGGCCGCCCTTTACCTCCCAGGAATATTTCTGGTACTCATTTCTGTTAGGGAGCCTCGGTAGCGCAGTCGGTATAGCGACTGGCTACGGGCTGGACTGCCGTGGGGTCGGAGTTTCGAGTCCCGGTAGGATCAAGAATTTCTTCTCCATCTCGTCCAGACCCACTCTGGGGCCCACCAAGCCTCCTATCCCATGGGTAGCGGGGGCTGTTTCCCCGGGAGTAAAGCGACCGGGGCGTGAAGCTGACCACTCACCTGCAACTAGTGCCGAGGTCAAGAAAATGTGGATCTATACATCCACTCCCCCATACGCCTTAATGGCTTAGTGCGTAAGTAGTTAAACACAGGACAACTTCGCCCATTCCTGTTAAAGGCTGAGTCGACCCCAAGGCCATAGTACGGCACGCGGTAGCGTAGATGGTTTAGAGGCACTATGCTACAAGCCGGAAGGTCGTGGGTTAGAGTCCCGATAGGTGAATATGGGTATATAGTAATCGTATTTATTTAACTGATTGTGAAGTTGTATGTGAGATTTTAGGTTCAGTGTTGCAGGTTTATGTGGCGAAGAGACACGTGGGCGGATATAGCGATCCGTAAATAGCAGGCACAGTGCAGCCGGACTGAATTTATTTCTGACTGATGATTAACGAGACGCAGCGTGCAGTAGTACCTTGAAATGGCAACTTTGTGAATGAAGGCAGAGCTGATCTGTACTGGACAAACTGAGCGCGTCTCCTCTGGATGTGGGCTGCATGTTTTCCGCATGTTGTAACCTGTCAGTACATGAGTCATGCCTGCACATGGCAGTAGGCGTTTGTCGTATTCCTCTCAGGGACAATATGTACGAGTGCATAAACGTGTGCAATATGGCGTTGTGTGCATCAGGGCAAAACGGCAGAGAAATGTTTGGAATGGCGGAAAGCACGTTAGAATAGCTTTTCTTTTCTTGAGGTAGATATAACGAAGTGCACAATCTGTTGCAGAATGGAAAGCAATCGAAAACGAAGCCTTCGGAATTCACATGATCCAGACATGAACACGAATGAAGAAATGTTGTCTAAGCTGAAGATCCATATTGGCCTC